GATTCTATTTGGAGATTGATTTGTGCTAACCAGTTTTGGGGTAAATAATAACCTACTACCAGTTTTACTAACTGTGTAATTGTAATGCTATTGATAAGAGTGAGTAGCAATGCGTATATAACAAAAATTGAGTTGTACATATATTATACGATCAAATTTCGAGGCTTACTGACACACTCGATGAAGTAAATGCGAGAGAATTACTGGAGAAAGATTACAATTAGTATTTAAAAATTCCACTTATCAATCATATGTTAAAATTTTAAACTGGTAGTCTGGTGACCAGAACTACAGAAAACAAAAAAAACCTATTGATAGCTTTCACTGATTATCAATAAGAATTACCATAAAAATTATCGCGAATGTGAACTAATAGTCTCGCTTTTCTCAAAGAGATAATTGAGCTATTCTATTTGCCGACCATTTATAATCAGTAACATGCAGCACTCATATTCTTCTTGAATGCTTATCATTTATCCCAAAACTGGTTACCACAAATCAATCCACAAATAAAATCCCCATTTGGAGTAATCAAACGAATAAAATGAGGATATTGATTTGGGGATTTTTTTAATTTGTTTAACATAAGAAAAACAGCTCTACGATGAATCTGGTGACCAGATTATATCTTGGGTTACGATAAAGCGTAGTTTTTCGCGACCCACAATATGTTCTGCTCACCAGATTCATTGGAAAGCTGGTTTTCTTATGTTTAGCGAATTAAAAAATATCCCCAAATCAATATCCTCACTATATTCGTTTGATTGCCCCAAATGGGGATTTTATTTGGAGATTGATTTGTGCTAACCAGTTTTGGGGTAAATGATAGGCATTCATATTTGTTATATAATTCAATATTGAGTGAAAAATCATTTTCTGGTCACCAGAACTTAAATTGAACCTTGGCTAACACAGTGGTCATGCTAGAAAATTTTATTCTAGAGTTGATACTGTGTAGTACGAGAAGCAAGATGCGATTGAATTTCAGCATACACAGTGTACATTATGGAAAAAAATCCCCAAAAAATAAAATCCCCAATTAAAAAGCCCATTTGGTTACCAGAATTGTTTTATCATCCCCAATTGGGGATTGTTTTTGGGGAACGATTTGGGGATTTCAATTTGGGGCAAATGATAGTCATTCATTTAAATAACACAAATTTTCTTTTCACTGAAATAATACAAAATTGTCATGCAAATAATCCAAATCTTTTTCTTTTCAGTTCACTACTAAATATTTTTATTATACCAATAAATTATTTTATTTTACTACTAAAGATTTTTCAATTTACTACTAAAATATTTTTCAATTTACTAAAAATTTATTTTCAATTTATTACTAAAATAAATTAATTTTGCTAATAATTTTTTTTTCATTTTGCTAAAAAATTATTTTACTAATAAATATTTTTATGATAATAATTCAAAATTTTATTGTTTCATTCGAGTAATAAATGTTTTTATTTCAAACAATAAATAATTTCAAAATAACTCAAATTTTATTTTCATTTCACTAATAAATTAATTAATTTTACTAATGAACATTTTTATGAAAATAATACAAAATTTTATTTTTTCATTTAAATCATAAATATTTTCAAAACAATTTATTTTTTGCGAAAAATAATTTCTATTTAATTCATTTCTTTTCATTTAACACATAAATAAAAGAAGAAGAAGAAAAGAAATATATGACGTAATTTTATATTTTTTTCTTTTCTTTGAAGCGAAAGAGCAAAAGAAAATTTCTTTTTTTTGTTCATTCATTTCAACGTATAGAAAAAGAAACGAGCAAAGAAAAAACAATTCACAAGTCTTATTCGATAGAAAATCGTTGAACACGATGATTATTCCAATCGGCGATATAGAGATTACCATGTCGATCGAAAGACAAACCAACGAGGAAGTAGAACTGATTTGCTCCTGCTCCATAGCCATTTCCACCCACAATTACAGTGCCTTGTTTCTTGTCTCCTTGAGTCCAACGCATTACACGATGATTCGACGTGTCTGCTACATAGAGTGTACCCAATGTATCAACGAAGATTCCATTAGGCCAATACAATTGTGTCAGAGCGCTCCCTTGGCCTTGTCCTCCAGC